TAGTCATATATATATCCTATGAATTTCATTTCGTACAACACTCATTATTTAATTAAAATTAATGAAAAAATAACCTGCACAAAAGTGTTAACATTGAGTATATATATATATATATATATATATATATATATATATATATATATATATATATATAATATATATGTAGTATTCAAATAACAAAACATAAAATAAAAACGATTTTCTTACCTCTCAAGGATAAGGAGGTTCATGACACATCCCTAAAAATGGTCGTGTGTATCACCTATATCCACCTCAAATGAAAATCAAATGTTTCTTAAAAATGAAAAATGACAAAAAAAAATGAAGTTTTCTTACAAATGACAACCAAATTTTGCAGAACTAGTGAAATCCTAAAAACACAATTGAACTTGTGAAATCAGAATCTACAATGAGAAAAATGTTTAAAAATTATACATTTAATCAAACTAAAAAACGTGGGGTTGGCTCTAGAAAATCACCATGGAAATCATCTGGAAATCCACAGCCGAGTCTTCTCCAGCATAAGCCTCCACTGGTCACGTATTTGTTGTTTTATGTTCAGTATCATTAGTCCAAAAGAGTAAGCCTCCATTGGTCACATATTTGTTGTCTAATATCTCTTTCAAATCAAAACCCTAAATTAGAAAAATTACATTACATATCTAACTGAAAAATAGTTTCAAAGAAACAATCACATTTATTTACACACAACATTAACTTTTAGGGAAAAAAAATTAGGTTAAGGAATGTATTGCCTTTTTAGTGAAGAGTGCAGCAGGGGGCATAACGCTTAGCCACAGGTTGCTGGCAGAGATGGGAGCGCAACAACGATGGCGGTGTCGATGAAGATGAGTGGTGACAATGTTCAAGAATGAGTCAGGGTAGAGAAAGAGATGTGAATATGGATTGTGGTGGGGCTTCCTTACAAGAAAAGTGATGCCAAGGAAGAGAGTTGATGGAGACAGGAGACAATGGTCAGATACGGTAGATGGTGCAAGGTTGGAGAATGGATGGTGGTTTATTGTCGGTGCGGTAGAAAGAATGAGTGAGCACCAAGATAAGCATAACAGTTACTTGGGCGAATGAGGGCGGTGACTTAGGTGGGATGAGTGCAGTGACGACGACTCTCCAATTAGGGGTTTTGAGTATTTGATTGAGAGAAAAGGTGATTTTAGAGAGAAATATGAGAACCGGAATTAGTGTTTAGAATTATGATTTAATTCCTGAAACGGATATGTTATCATCAGATGATTAGCATACATGATTATATTCGATGTAGTAGGTGTTGTACCTCTTAAAATTCAAGAAATATGCAATATGCTTTATATAATAATAAAGATATGTCGATATAGTATTATTGGGTTGAGACTGTACTGTTTTGTACGATCATTTTAAAAACCAAGGGCAATCCAACCGGGAGGTTGTGGGTCAGGGTAATCCAACCGGGAGGTTATGGACCCAGTACGTTATATGCATGGAAATCCAACCTGAAGGTTGTGGGACAGGGTAAGCCAACCAGGAGGTTGTAGACCCATCATGCATTATGTATATCTGTTGGTTGTGCTATGTGGTACTTTGGGGGAACTCACTAAGCTTTGGCTTACAGTTTCAGTTTATTGTTTCATGTGCTTTAGATAATCATGGCAAGGCGAAGGCATGATCGTACACATCCTTCAAAGATAGATTTTGGGAGATTTTATGATGTATTGATCTGAGGGAATATTTGTATTTAACACTTGACTTGATCTGGTTTTGGGATTGAAAACTATGGTTTTTTTTAATTTAAATATGAAAATTTTTATCATGTTTTTGGGATGTCTCAAGTTGGTATCAAAGCCCTGGATTGAGAGAATTGGATGAGTATTCTTGTGAATCCAGAATCAAACTAAGGATCTATAAAAGTTTTCAAAATAATTTTCAAATTAAATTCAAATTGTTTTCAAAAGCAACTTAGGAAGGAGGAGATGTGTACGATCAGCTGGAGCAAGAAAATATACCCCAAGTTACTGTTGGGTTTTGAGCATTACGACATTCCTATGTGCACATGCAACCCTAATTGATTTGGATCTAGGTTTTCTCAAGTTATACATGAAAACAAGATTTCCAAATCAATAACCCTAACTCTAAGATATAAAATCGAAACTAATAGGGTTTGGATCTTACCTTTCTTGTTATCTTGTAATAACAAGTAATCCTTCTTCAATTTCTTGACCTTCGAAAGCCTAGTGTGTAACAATAGTCAAAATAGGTCAATAACAATCACATGTGATTATACCAATCATGTAATGTGATTTTGTTAAACTAGTAATGTGATAAACTTACTATGTAAATCCTGATAAATTCTAATATAAATATGAACTTTCATACATATTTTATGATACAAATCAAAGTATACGTCCATATGATTCCAAAAATATAGAGAACGTCGAAATCTGGCTTCGCGTGAAGAAGTTATGATAGACTCTAACACTATAAAATCTCTATAACAAGAGGAATTTAAAATAGGCTTAGAATTAGCTATTGGAATCTAATATAGAGTTGTAGTACTCGGAATTACCTACGCGTGGATATAAATAATGTCAAAAACGGAGTTCGTATGCAAAAGTTATGACCTTCCGAAGTTATAGCTGTCTGAGAGCATGACATGTGTCAGAAACCCTAATCTGACTGAACTCACGACGTGAGCATAAAAACTCACGACGTGAGGAGTCAAAACACCACATTTCGAAGCTAGAAGTCTACGGAACGATAACCCAAAAACTCACGACGTGAGCAAGGTTTTCTCACGACGTGAGGACGCTGCAGGACACTAATCGAGCCTAGAAAACACCTGGGAAGACTACAAGATGACTCTTGCCATAGCTCACGATGTGAACCTATCATTCTCACGTCGTGAGGGCCAAAAATCAGCCTATAAATAGCCATTTCGGCCATAAGCTTCCTTACACCTAAATCTCTTCTCTCTCTCTCTCTCTCTCTCGTTTGTTGAGGCCGTTTCGCATCCCGAGCCCGACGATCGCGAACCGCTGACAGTTTTCAGTTAGATTCTATCAAAGCACGATATTAAGGTGAGTTTCACAGCCCCACTTTAAATGTTTTCGGGGGAAAACGCATGCTAAATATTGTATTTAATTTAATATTATGTCTATATGATAGTATGTTCGTATCAACATAGATAGTTATATTAACCGGGATATAGTTGTTTTGAATCTGATATTTTGAAAACATACAACTATCGTAAACTTGTTAGCATAATATTATACTAATGTAGACCCTGAGTTATACTTGGGAGTTCTATATATATGTTATGTGCGATATACTTCCAGAGTTATACTCGGAAGTTCTATATGTTAATTGATAAGTATGTTGTTATTGTTGGTTTTATGTCAAGATAAAACCTGGTTTTACCTCAAGTTATAGCTGTTATACTTCCTAAATATTATGAAATTAGGAGTAATGTTTAAAAGCATTGTCTAGTAACTTAGGGTTTTAGACACGAATATGCTTTGTTGTTAGAGTTATAGGAAGCCGACAAAGTCTACATGAGCTACCTCATTCATCAACTAAGATTGGGAATCTTAGTGGAAATCCTCTGACCTGTAACCGTTAATCCTGTGTGAGCGAGGAAGTTGTGTATGGATCTATGTGGGTTAACGCCCCATCCATGGTTGTTGGCTACAACCCAATCAGTTTTACGGTGGACTATAGATCTATGCGGGTTGACGACCCCACCCGTGGTTGCTAGCTACAACTCAACGGTCCGCGGGTGACGAACTGTCCTATTGATTGTTATGGACCTGGCGTCAATGAAGCGTATGGGGGAAGTATTTACCTTGGTGGAATCCTTTATGGCACCAATGGCGGTTTTATTGTGGCACCAATGGAGGAACCATTGGTGGGATATCTTTTAATCAGAGGTTTGCATGTCTAGCAGCGGTTACGGACTCATGGTAGCACAACATTAGAAGCATTATACTTTGTCGATATACAAGTATGAATGTTAAGTATAAGTTTCCAAAAGACTTATACTCTAAGTACAAGGAACTTGTAGGTATACTACTTGCTCATTAAGTAGACAATTATACCTAACACACTTACTCGTATAGAATTGAAATAGATTTATACGTAGCGGTTTTACTCGTATAGAATTGAAATAGATTTATACGTAGCGGTTTTACTCGTATAGAATTGAAATAAGATTTATACGTAGCAACCTTAGTTTGTATGGGATTACAATCATTTATTCATAATATGTGAAACTTATAGGTATATCACTTATTTGATAAGTAAACCATTATACCTAATATATATATATATATATATATATATATATATATATATATATATATATATATATATATATTAAATGTTGGAGAGTCAAAATGATACTTTCAAAACTATACTTTTGAACTTGGAAAATGTATTATTTTTATATGGAGTCAAAACCTGTGGACTCACCAACTTTATGTTGACGTATTTTAAAATGCATATGTTTTCAGGAAGTTGATAACTATGATACAAGAAATGACGTTACACTGCCCGGTGTTTCCGCCGACGGCCGGGGTGTGACATAGTGCCCCAAGCGTTGCACCTCTAATGGAGTCACAAACACCACAAGCAAAGAATGAGGGAGAATGAGGTAGAAATCGGCTAGGGTTTCTCTTGGAAGCAGGTAGGCTGATTTCTAGAGGCTGGAGTTCCTTTTATAGTTGAGGCTGCTAGGGTTTTCAGCTGGAAACCCTAATTTCCTTGCTTAGGTCTTTAAGCAGTCCATGGGCCCCCATATGATAGGCCTTGGACGAAAACTCTATGGGGCTTGCCATAAATTTTCGTCCACTCCCTTCACTACAAATAAAATTACATTTAGTGGCACAAGTCTTTAGTGACATATTAATTTTTGTGCCACTATATTATCTTTTTAGTGGCACACATATTATATGTGCCACTATAGCTATGGAAAATTCTAATTTTAATATCCCGCTCCTAATTCCCTCCATAGTCGAAGACCTTCCGCTCTTTTTTTGAGAAATGAAATCGGAATAAAGGAATAAATCACGTCTCTTTTCATCGTCACCGGTTCACCGCCAGTTCTCCAAGCCACATCTCCAACTCTCCTCTCCTCCCCACGATGATTAATGGAGCATCGCCGTCTATCCTCCTCACCAACAACACTATACCACCGCTAGTTCTCCAAGCCATATCTCTGCCTTGTTCTTATATGGATCAAGCAGAAATATATGATATTCTTCCTACTACGAAGGTTTTGTTTTCTACCATCCGATGTATGCTAGATTTCGGAGGTTAATCGGGTATGTATGACACATCGGATCAGATGTATCGCATATCAAATCATATTTATGTCATATTGGAGCAGATTTAGGGTTGTCGTTATTTCCCCATGAAGAACACAATCCCTAATCAGGTATGCATTCTTCGCTCATTTCACTCTCCTTCAATCACTCTACCATCTCCTCTCCAGATTCTCATCAGCGGATTTAGGGTTTTCGTTATTCCCCCATGGATTGTAATTACCTTTTTTTACTCTTCATAAATCATTATTCATATAATATGCACATTGCCCCTCTTTCTTAGACCTTCCATATTTTGTTGTTATTGAAATGTGTAGGGATTTGGTTAAGGGAATATATCTATATGTTCGAGAATAGATTGATTTCAAGGTTTATCTGATCTGAACCAGGGTTGTATTTTAAAACGCTCAAACTTCATTTTGAAAAGATAACCAACTTGCTGTTTATTTTGTTCAAAAATATTGAAAGATCTATATAGCATTCACCATGTCGTTGTCCTTGAATACATATATTTTAGTTTTTAAGTTTGCAGTCAACATTCTCTTAATATGTAATAGGTCTTGGCTTTTTAAATGATATTTTTGACAAACTTTTTAAAGCACACATCCCTCTGATAAGGTAATATTTACTATATTCTCATAATGTGTATTATATCTCATATTGATTATAACTTTCACTCTTTAGATGTCAAATCTTGATATTGATGTGTTAATGAATCTAAGAATGGTGTTTTGTTTGTGGGTGTTTGAAGACAGTTGGTTTGCCACCTAGAAGGTTTGATAAGATAGGGAAGGAGAGGGGCAACAAATGGGCGTGTTCATGAAAGGAATTGTGTTAGATAATTGTGTTAGCATCAATTCTTGCATGGTGGAAGATCAAAGGAGCTATCTCTGATGAGCTTTGTGTAATTGAGGCTGACACAGCTGAAGGTTTTGATGTAGGGGCAATTCTGTCCATTTCAAAAAGGTCTACCCTTACTACTATTGTTATTGTAACTTGCAATGTTTTTTCTTGTATATGTTTGTATTTAGCATTTCCTTTTTTCCTTTTTACCAGACGGTTTTCTAGTGAATATGAGGCTACATGAATTGTATCATTGCATTAGATTTTTTCCCTTTTAAGTAGACATCGTTCACAGGTAACCTTAATTTATCAAAATAAATATATTTTAGTTTTTAGTTTTGCAGTCAACAATCTGGTCAACCTTAATGTGTAACATGCCTTTTCTTTTTTAAATGATGTTTTTGCTCTGATGTATAAAAAGAGAGATTAAGGGCATTTTTGTACTTGTAGCTCTAATTTTCTCCTTAGCTTTATGGTTATCTAGTCTAAACGATTAATTTCTTGTACTTGTAGCTCTAATACCATCTTTCTTTGTTTCAGGTTCTGTGAAATTATCGAAGTCTTTGATTTTGTTTCAGGTTCGAAAATGATCTTGGGTTCTGATGGGTAGAAAGGCTGAGGAAGAGAAGTGTCTTCTTGCTGCATAAAAGATGTTCCTTATTCAACATTTTGAAAGATATTTTTGTTTTAAGTATTGATAATATTGTTGTAAATTGTTGTAAGACAAGTTAAATTTTAATATAAGCAATTCTTTTGTGTTTTCCATTTATTATTTATCTATTTATTATTTTATATTCCATTTAAATTTATAAAAAAAATGACCAAATTTTCAAATATTAAATGCTTTGTGATGAAAAAAATGTAGCCAAAAACTAAAAATATTACCTTTATTTTAACAATTTATTAGTGGCATTAAAAAGTGTTGCAAAAACCAAAAATGTTATAGTGGCATAAGAAAAGTGCCATTAATAGTGATCAAAGCAATACTTAGTTCACTATAAACAATGCTCTAATACCAATCTGTCACACACCCAAACCAAGGATGGCGGAAACGTCCGGGGGTGGCGGACTTCATGTATAGTATCATAACAACGAGTAAGTGATCAAAGCAATACAACCAATCATAAATATAATCGGAAAAGAATTACATGGTTTCAAGTGTTACATATTTCAATGATTGATTACAACATGATATAAAAATAGTTGTTCAACGCCGTAGCGTTCCATCCTCAAAAGCTTGTGATTACCTGGTTTCGTTGATTTCCTGAGAATACAAGTAGTTTTGAAAAAAGTGTCAACAATTAAGTTGGTGAGTTCATAAGCTTTTTAGATGAAGAGTTTGGAAACCGATCTTTGTAATGAATTGTGTGATACCAAGAAAAATCCAATATTTTCCTTACAAAAATTGATGTGTAGTCTTTAATTCCAAAACCGAAAGTGCACAATAATATCCATACTTATTGATATAAAAAGTGATTTTAAATCGACATAAAGCCCTTTTTGATTTGAGAAAAATCCCCGTAAACTTTATGTGTTGTTAACTCCCTATGTGAGTCGCTATAACCATACTATGACTAATGAACCTGCCACGACGTTTCTCAGGCGTCGAAAAAGATAATGACACTTGTCACCCCAGACCTGCCGGTCTAGCTGTTGCATGCAGCTCAGGTGTGGTTTGTCAAACCCAATATAGATCTATACACAACTATCACGTTCTCCCTACAAGAGACTCTGGTTATAACTACCAGGAATTTTAACCCGTGCTCTAGGAGTACTAAGAAGAATGTCTCACAATTTACGTTAACAAGTTTACGTGTGGTGTGCGTAAGTGTAAAACCTTTTTCTGTGGGAATAAAACCTTCCGAAATGTGTTTGTTGTGTTAATGGAAACATAAACTATACCTATTATAGCTTATCAAAACGTTTTGTAATGGTAGAAATCATCGTTGTATATGATGTAAACCTTTTCCATGTAGTACAAATCCATAAACTATGCCTATTATAATTTATTATATGTGTTTGAAATGAATGAAGAATCCATTTCAGTTTATGATGATAAACTAACAAGAAAATACATTCAATATTTAGAACTTATTGTTATACACTTTGCTCAACATACTACAAAGTGTTATGAAAGTTGTAAGCTGTTAACTAGTTTTTAACCTTTCTGCACTGTTTTAGAAAAATCATAGAAAAATCATGCGAAGTCGAAAGCATCCGTAAATTCTGAGAGTTTAGAAAATGTGTCTAGTTTATTCATAATTTTTATTATGATTTTTAGAAGTCTTTAACTTGTGTTAAAATGTTCATATTCACAGACTGGTCCGAATTCGTTTCTGAAACGATAGGCAGTTTTGTAAAAATCACCATATATCGTAGAAAAATCATATGGAGATGTGCAAGCAGTCATTTTAAAGGTATGAACCTGAACTATTTGCATATTAAACCGTTTTGAAAGATATTAAGTTTAACATAGTCAAACAGTCCGTGAATAAGACTCAACTTTTCTGATGAAAGCCGTTATTTGAGTTTAGTTAAGTTTTTGGTGTTTTAACTTGTATTCCCCCACTAAAACTTGAAGAAAACATGAAAATGTAGGGGTATGAACTCACCTCGAGTGATTTCAGTAGATGGATGATGGAGAAAATAAGTGTTCAACTCAAGAACACTTAGAAGATGTTTGAAGATTCGAAGATCTAACAACAAATATGACGATATTTGTGTAAGGAACTCATGATTTGAGTGAAGAAGTGTAAGGAAATCAAGTGTGGGAAGAGATTTACTTACCAAAGGTGTGTGAAGAGCTCAAGATCAGCCTTAAATCTCGAATTCTTGGTGAGAGGAAGTGAGAGAGAATGTGTTTTGCTTTTTGGTGAAAAGTGAGTGAAGTGGAAGGAGAGAGGAGATTTTCAGCTTTTGATGAACCTTTACAGCTGGAGGAGGGGTGTCAAAGGACAAATAGTTGACTAGGTAGGGGAATAGTGACTGAGGGTTGTACTATGAAGGTATGGGGGAGGTTGCTTGTGTCATACTCTAGTCAAAGTCAACACTCTACCCCAAAATCTAACTTAATAGATTTTATTCTTGGACAAGGATTTCCCCCAAAAATATGACTAAAATGAATATTTAGGGTCTCTTATGTTGAATTACGAGTTTTGGTGAAAATCCCGCGTTAAAATCATGAAAAACGGGCTTAAAACGAAGATTGGGTCAAAAACCGGGAAGAAAATGCTAATTTCCGAAGTCAGGAGGCGAGGTTCGGTCTTAGGAGCTGAACAGCCGAAGGTAAGCTCGATCCGAGAAGGGTTCGGTTGATGCATTAGAACCGAGAGTGAGAGGTTCGGTTGCTGATGAGATCCGAGAGGTTGGTTCGGTCCATGATGCTGAGAAGCAAAAGGGAAGCGAAGGCGAAGGCTCGGTCCGAAGCAGTCTCGGTTTCGGTGCAAGCGAGGTTCGGTCCTCATGGTTCGGTTCTTAAGGCTATGTTCGTCTACTAAGAGGTTTCGGCTCCTTAAGAGGGTTTTTCGCATAAACTTCCGTTTTCGAGTTGTTTTTGACTAAATCAAGGGTCGGGATGCCCCGGGTGATTATAAAAAGTTGAGAGAGATTTTGAGAGAGATTTAGGAGAGATTTCTCATACTTAGAGAGATTTGGGAGAGATTTCACATACTTAGAGAGATTTGGGAGAGATTTCACATACTTAGAGAGATTTGGGAGAGATTTCACATACTTGGAGAGATTTGGGAGAGATTTCACATACTTGGAGAGATTTGGGAGAGATTTCACATACTTAGAGAGATTTGGGAGAGATTTCACATACTTGGAGAGATTTGGGAGATATTTCACATACTTGGAGAGATTTGGGAGAGATTTCACATACTTAGAGAGATTTGGGAGAGATTTCACATACTTGGAGAGATTCCACATACTTAGAGAGATTTGGGAGACATTTCTGGTAGCGAGAGATAGAGCGAGAGAGATTTGAGAGAGACTTCGTTTGAGACCTTTTTGGATGTTTAGCTTCGCTACGCTAGGTGTGTAAACCTCGTTAAGCCTTGTTATGAATGTTATACGCCACTAAAGGGTATGTATTAATGTTTTATCGAGTAGTTCCATCACTTACCCTAATTTGGGTGTAGATTTTCTACACACGTGAAACTTCTAAGCGATGCTTTGTATTACGATGGTGCGTTGTACAATAGTAAACATAAGGTAAACCCTAACATACAAGGGTTAATTGAATTGACCGGTTTGACTTGTTGACTTTATTTGACTTTGACTTGACCAGAAATTGACGGTTGTCACATCATCCCCCCGTTAGAAGGAATTTCGTCCTGAAATTAACGTTTCGACTGGGACTTCAAGAGTTAGGGAAAAGATGCGGGTATTTTTGTTTCATCCGGTCTTCGCGCTCCCAGGTGAACTCGGGTCCTCGTTTAGCGTCCCAACGGACCTTCACAATAGGGATGCGACTTTGTTTCGTTCTCTTGATTTCCCGATCCATGATTTCAACCGGTTCTTCTACGAAGTGGAGACTCTCGTTGATTTTGATTTCGTCGAGTGGTATTACAAGAGTCTCGTCGGACAAACACTTCTTTAAGTTTGATACGTGGGAGGTCGGGTGTACGTTATTAAGTCCTTGTGGCAGTTGGAGCTTGTATACCACTGGGCCAATCCTGACAAGGATTTCGAATGGCCCGATGTACCTTGGATTTAGTTTCCCCCGTTTACCAAACGTATCGTTCTTTTCCACGGTGAGACCTTCAGTAGTACATGGTCACCATCCTGGAACTCCAAGGGTTTGAGTTGCTTATTTGCATAGCTCGTTTGTCGATCTCGAGACGCTTTCAGTCTTTCTCGAATTTTCACGATCTTTTTCGTTGTCTCTCTTATGATTTCAGGGCCATTGAGGGTGCTGTTAGGAACTTGCTCCTTCGCTAGCTGTGTATCTCCCACTTCAGTCCAACGCAGTGGTGATCTGCCCTTGCGGCTATAGAGATCTTCGAATGGAGCGACCTTGATGTTAGGGTGATAGTTGTCGTTGTGTGAAAATTCAATGAGTGGTAAGTGGGCATTCCCATGCTTTACCGAAGTCAATCACCCAAGATATTAACATGTCTTCCAAGGTTTGAACAGTTTCCTTTGCTCTGCGCATCGGTTGTAGGTAACTCGAAGGCTTCTGTTGTTCTATCCTGACCTTGGCACAATTCCGATACTTGCCCACATGTGTAGCGATGTCAGCTTTCCTATTCGGCCACTGATGTTACTTTTTGAGGTCCAGATACCTCTTGTCTGAGCCTAGATAAATGGAGTAGCGAGTTTTCATGTGCTTTGTTCAAGACGTCATTTCTGATTCCATCAACTTTGGTGTCCAGATCCGGTTCATGGGATAACATGCCCTGCCGCTCTTGCCTTCTAGGTTCTTATGATCGGTGAAGATTGTACACTTCGTGTCGTGGAAAGTTGTAAGCTGTTAACTAGTTTTTAACCTTTCTGCACTGTTTTAGAAAAATCATAGAAAAATCATGCGAAGTCGAAAGCTGAATCTGTAAATACTGAGAGTTTTGAAAATGTGTCTAGTTTATTCATAATTTTTATTATGATTTTTAGAAGTCTTTAACTTGTGTTAAAATGTTCATATTCACAGACTGGTCCGAATTCGTTTCTGAAACAATAGGCAGTTTTGTAAAAATCACCATAAATCGTAGAAAAATCATATGGAGATGTGCAAGCAGTCATTTTAAAG